CCCCCGGTACCCTACAGAGAGTACCTGTACCCTACAGAATACACCCGTGCAAAAATGCTAGAGCCATCAGAAGATGTAATGAACACATAGTCTTCACTATTAGCAAGAAAAGGGTACACAAGCCCGAGGAGGTACACCTGCAATCCCTGCAGCACGTTTGCGTGCTCACAACTGAACTACACGCCCACACACTACAAATCGACTACAGCAGCAGCATCACCCCCCTTGTCCCGCATGTAGACTACCAAAATGAATGTCGACTACAGCGTACTGCTGTCTGAAGTGCTGTCTGTACAACAATAACATCATGGTTGGTACACAAGCTCGGGGCATGCAGCTGCTGTCTGACGTGCTGTCAGAATGAGTCCGTGGACATACAATGAAAAGGAACACCCAACCAAAGCCATTATTGCAATTGACAATCGCCCGAATCTATCCAGATCATCTGTGTAAGGCACAGCAGTGTAATAAACATCGACACTGACTAGGAATCGTCCCACATCGAAGGGGTCTTCCACGATGCAGGTACACAATTAAGGCACCCGGGTTATCGGCGCCATCTGTGCCACGTCTCTCTACGAAACCAGTGACGACGTCATCACACACACCCAACACCTATAGACTACTTAGGAAAAAAACGGAAAAATAATGGGAAAACGACTCAACCGGGTATACCCTGGTCGAAAAGCGACAAACCTGGGTGCACAGTCATCAACAGCAGTAAATGCACTCATTTGATTGGTCAGCACCCAATTTCACCCCGGTGCGTCCGAGAAGGGGCGGGGTATACCCTGCTGTGACCACTTTTCTCAAAAACTATACCCTTTTTTCGGTAATGTACCCTGACCTGTCGGGAAATCAGACCCTTTCATCAATCATTTCCCCCGCAGGAATCTTCCCAACTCCTTTTCCCTTCCAACCATGGGATTGTTGTTGTTGTTGTTGTCTTCACAATAAAAACCGTTCCGATCTCTCTCTAGCCAGAACCTTCGTATGTCCGTACTGATCCGACACTCGACGCGGTCGATTCCCGTGGTCGCAGGCTAACTTACCCTAAAAAGGTACACTCAAATAAAATGGCCCCGAGGGGTCCGCAAGTCAAGATAAATCAACGACAGATATTCTGGAGTCCTCCACTCCCTCTGCGCGCTATGCGAGGTAACAACTGAGACTAGGGGTCACCATCACGGGCCGGAGAGAATGAGGTACACCCCCTTGGTTCAATCTCGGTACTTCACAACGCAAGCAGAAACAAGGCCATCTGGCACAGAAAACGAGAGAAAAAGAGTAAACGAGAAAAAGAGAAGAAAATAAAAGGAAACAGTAATGAGGAAAGAGAAAATGAAATAAAAAGAGCGAGGACAAAAAGCGACCAGGCCGATAATAACAAGAAATAAGAGACAGAAAAAGGCACACGGTGGATACCACAAACGACAAGCAAACACGCAAACATGGCCACCAACCAGCTATACATTGTAATGGTACGTCATCACTAGTGGGGGGTTGGTGCAAAGGCGGGGCGGGCTGTGATGTTGTAGTCGGCTTGTCCTTTGCGCGCATCAGGAGCATACCAAACCAAACGGCGAATCTTCCCGCCCAATAACAACCATGGCATCCGGGCAGGAATCAGTTTCCGCCCCTGCGAAACAACACCAACCATCAACTCTTCCGATCTAAATCAACAATGCAATACCCTTTGGAAACATGCACACACGGGTACGATACCCCGTGGGCGACTGCTTGCTGCAGTCTATATGCGAGATGCACGGGTCACGCTATGAAAGCGAGACCGATCCTACATGGTTGACATGCATGTATATGCTTATATTTGCCAATGTGTCGCGCTGCGTTGAGCGGGCGGAGGGGAGAGGCAGCACCACCACACACAGACACGCCCTTGACATCAATCATGGAAGGAGGAGCGAGCGGCAGCGCAGGAGCGGCGTCGGCGGGTTTGTCCACCACGGTAGCGCCCGTTACCGCAGGGCAGATATTCTCCAGCCGCCATGCCGCGAAGGTCGCCGTAGCCGCTGAGCTTGCTGCCACCGGCCGTTCCATGAAGAATGGAAAGGGTGCCGGCAGTCGGCAAATTCACCTGGTTTGCAAGACTTGCACAAGTTGGGTTGTTGAAGGCTGCCTACGGAAGGGCGGTGATTTCAAGATCACCAAGGTAGAGGGCTCGCACGTCGACTGTGCTGGGGGCGGGCGGACGAGCTCCGCAGTGGTGCAACCCCTGGTGGACCAGTTGGTTTGGGCCAACCCCAAGATCGCCGGTCCCGCGATCAAGAGGACCCTGACGACCGTGGGGTTTACCGTCTCCGACCGGCAATCCTAACGCGCGAAGAAGCGCATCGCGACCGCGTCTAAGTAGGATGAAGCGGGTGCCATTTCGCGTCTTCCATCCCTTTTCGAAGGGATCGAGCGCGATTGTCCGGGTTCGGTCGCCACCGTCGAGGACGTCTGCACGAGAATCACGAAAGAGATGCACTCGCCTTGGGGACACTGTGCGCGGCGACGTAGGCAGCCTTACCCAGCATCAAGAAGCTCCTGACGAACCAGTTGTCAGGACTCATCTAAAAAGGGAAAACGCGTGCACCCGGGATAACAACCACAGGAAGGTCAGAACCCAAACGACACACTGGGCTGCACGTTGCTCACACATCGCGTGCGGGGATGGATCATTTATTTGGATGGAGACGAGTAAGAAGCGAGGGTAGCCTACATTTGTGCCCAGAGCCTACGGAACGTGACGACGGCACATCTACAACATGCTAGGGTACATGTGGTATTGCTGTTGCCTGGAGTCCTTGCCCAACCTTGCACGGCTGCATCACGT